GTGTTTAAAATTATTCTTTTTCATTAAATTCTAAAAGTAGCAAGAACTCTTAAAAAGAATAAACAATGTATCTAAAAACACATGTAATGTCTAAAACTGACCTTGCAAATGAATGACAAATGTTTGGATTTGAGATTAAATGTTAGCATTTCATCTATATCAGTGTCCTGAGCTGACTAGCACTTCTAATAGTTCTATACTATTTGGTCTGAAAGAGATCCTGGGATATGTTGCATTCAGATTCACACCATTTTCTTTCAGGACCATTCTGAGCACTAGGTTTAGTTCTTAATCTCCCATATCACACATTCGTTCCAGAGCCATTTATATCACATGTAAGTTCGACACCAACCCGAGATTAGTAGAGTGTCAGAGTCAACATACACAGGAGCAGATACACAACACAACTCCAGATGCGGTCAGCTGTCACAGCAACTATCACAAAGTGATACATACACTGGCCTTTATTAGACCACCATTTCTTGTTCACATTTGTGTCATATTGATAAAAAGTTTTAAAAATCTCATCACATGTTCCCCCTCTGAAAAGTTTTTAAAAACTCATAATATTTAGCCCTTTTGAAACATGCAATGAGATTAATGAAAAATCATTTTTCGCTCTGTCTAGCAAAATAATCCCAATTTTAAAACAGTTTGATAATGTTGTCCTGACTACAAAGGAAGATTTAAAGGAAGAGTAACTTATCTAAGCCACTATGGTAGAGGTCGATTTCTAATATGACAACTCTTCGGATAAAGGTTTCGTGACCTGTTCATTTTGAAGAAAAACTTTACTGTGATGAGAATTAGTGAGAAGATCTCGTTTTTCTTTCAAAGGTCTCTTAGTCTTTGCTGGTCTGGTGTTGCCATGTGTATCTGCTCTTGACAAGAGGTGTTGATTAACAGTAACTAAATTGAGCCTGTGCTATAAGTGCTGAACTGTGTTTGAACTGTTGGAAGGCTTTTGAGGCCGAGGGTTTGGTTTCTGAGGGCTGGGAAGGGGTGGCAGCAGCTGAGGCTGTGCCAACAGGGTGTTATTGGTTTGGGCCGAGGTGTTGTTAAATGGGGACGAATCGGACGAGGCTCAATTAGTCTTGGTTGGACTAACCGCGGTGAGTCTTCTTTCGTCTTGACATTGTTTCTCTTTTTTTCGGGGGATGATGGCGTGGATGGTTCAGATGAGGAGACAATGCTGCTGAAACTAAACATGCACACACAGTCAATGTCTGTCCCTACGCGCAGGGATGTCATGCCAGGGACTTCTCCATATCACAGGGACACAGGATGCGGAACACCTTATACCATCCAGTCAATGATCACATACCAACAGTGTTTCAAGGATTAAAGTCAAGGGGTCCTTATCATTATCCAAACATAAAATATAATTTCTCAGATTCCCTTCATCTGAATACTACAAAGTGGACCCCATGACCCTTTCCCTAACACTGTATAAGCACTTTTCAAGCCACAAAGCTAACAGATTTAAGAAACACTTTCAACTATCAGGCTATAATCTGGATGTGAATTACCATCAAAGAACAAAGCATTTATTTCTTAGTGATAAAAAATTGTAGAAATGTGAATGTTAGAATTAGCCAGGAAAGCAAACTATTTCATTATAATATGTGAAATGGTTACAATTATATTAATATGTCAGCCAAAAATCTGTGGTAGCAGGCTTAAAGCAGCATGTCGGATGAAATCACCAAAGCAATGGCTGGCAAGATACAAAATGGGAAAACAAACAAGTAACACAAGTACACAAGTAGATAATCACCCAGTTACGGCTGATATTAAAACCATCAGTTATTCGTTGGATTAGTTAAATGTTTGAAGGAACTAAGTAATCAATTATTATACGGTTCTGGCACTATCTTCACCTGGATGTTCATATGACAGGAGAGGGCATGAAGGTATATCCTCCTGAGCTTGTATTTCGGTAAACCTACCATTACCCAGGATCCACTCGAGAGATTGTCACGATCTCAAAGTACCTAACCTTGATTTTCTAGGCTACATGTTTTAATGGACCAATCAGAATGTGAGTCAGAAACTGACCTCACAGTTTGATGGTTATACCATATATCATTGATTGGGATAGAGTACAAGAAATTCAATATTAATAAACAGATTGGTACACACAACAGTGCTCTCAAAAATATTGTTGATGGAGTGAGTAAGTGTGAATAGCAATAGCAATATTCCAGTAATATCACAGGCTTCACACATTGTACCCATGTGGGGAATCGATCCCGCGTCTTGGCGTGATGAGCGGAGGCTATCCCACTGGCCCCTATTGTTGATGGAAAAGATATAAACTGCCAATGGCAAGTCCTATCTCACCTATTTCCTTTGAATGTATGATTTGTCAATAAATGTTCATCAAAATCAAGGGAAAATTTGAAACAGCGAAACCATAGGAATGGATGTAGGTGTTACCGTTACCGTCGTGGAGATACAGCGGATGAACTGAGGTGTACATGAGACAACCTGAAAAGTCTAAATCACTATTTTTGTGTGAATTCTCATCTCATGCCTCTGTAGGTAAGCAAAGTACACACCTAAAAATAGCACAAGATAGGAAACATAAAGCTGTAATTCTACTTGCCCTTAGGATAACTTTACATTTAACATCTGAGAAACTATGTCATGCTTACAGGATAGTGCCAATTGGCATCCCAGCTTCGAAAGGTATCATTCTTAAATAGCTTCCATCGAATCATTCAGCTAGTTCCTATCACAAAAGTGATATTTATGCTTCAAGTCTATCGACAAACTGTTCCCATAATTTAAGCTTCCTCAATGATACAGACCATAAGATGCAAGACAAGACGGCACACGACAGGTCCAATTCCAGAAAAACCACCACCAAATTACCAAACACCATGCTGTAACCTTCAACTAGACAAATCTAGATGGAAAAGCCAGAAAAAATCCCCACGAGTCACATACTTTTCAATCCTTCACACGATTCAGTAAAAGTACAAAAAATAAATAAAATCTGACTGAACTATTTCTGGGATTCACAATACAAGCATATGTATATATATATATAATATGTGAAGAACTTTTAACACATGATTTCTGATTTGTGATTTTTTTGTAATACAAAAACTTCAAAGTTCTACAAATACTGTAGTATTCATCCTTATCATTCAGTGATAAATTTTTTAATTGTCATATTTACATTGACATAGAAGCATTCTTTTGTATAGATGCAATACTATATACCAGTACATTTATCCACCTGAGTATGTGCCCTAATATAATATATATCGTTGTATTTGATCTCTTCTACATGAAATACTTACTGCTACAACAAAAATTAACATACAAAGCTATCCCAAGTTTGATCCTGTCAGTAGCCCGAATACATATTTTGGACCCATGAATCATATTCAAATGGATACAAACCCTAAGCTCATACACACAATTTACCAGTTGTCTGAACCCAAACTTTGCCTACAGGTCCTTCAGCCCAAACTGTCCAAGGACTTGCCAAATCTTTAGGTATTATTATGTTCAGTAACACAGAGTCCAAGTTCAGATCAGGGTCCTGATGATATAGAGGATTTGGGCTTTTTAGCAGGTTCAGTCAAAAATAACTTTTCTTTGTCAGTAATACTGACACAAATGGGTTCAGGAATCTCATTCAGTCAATAAATGATGGAACCAAGAGATGTTTATTCTTTACTCTGCTTGAAATGTTTTTGCATTTGTTTCACAAATGGCAAAGACCGACCACACAGACCATGAAATAGTATGTCTGGGTTTTCTTGCATACAGTTCAATTTTTCACTTTTGACAACAGTGATTTGTCATCGTTTCATGTCAAAACTTTCCAATTAATCTTACACTTTAAATAAATGTTTCAGGTCCTTTTATGATAATCAAATCCATCAGGATGCTGATACTATTACTGTAAGCTGTGTTTATTACAAAGAAAGAATTTTTAACAAGTCACAGACTGACCATATAATAAGTGAAAGCATGATTATATAGAGCGATAATAGTGTGTCATTTCTGAATATAGAGTCTTACACCGGGTTATTTAAATTTAGGTTCCAGATTTGTATTCATGGAAAGAAACACCTTTCTACAAAGCTCGTTAAAGACAGGGATTATATATACACAGGAAGGAAAGCAACCTGGCTACTTGACACACAGCTACTGGATGACAACTGTTAGGAAAGACATGGCCTAAAACAGTATGACATGGCCTTAAACAGCATGACAAGGCCAAGAACAGCACGACAAGGCCCGTGACATACCAAACAGACCCAACCAAACTCCATAACATGATGTAACAAGAGTAATCTCTGTTTGGTCATGTGAGCTGCGGCCGCCCTAGCACGGCCTTCATCGACATAGCACCAGTGTTCCATACTACTCCGCTGACATGCAACCTTCAGCCGTCATAGAACTTGGAAAAGCTTGCAAAGAAGAAGGAAGAATGCCTACACTGACAATGGAAGTCATAGTTGAGAGACACTAGATCATACAGTGACATAATATTTGCCTTTAACTTCATCCAGGTTGCTAACAATAAGCACACTGAAAAGACTGCTTCAAGCAAGAAAGGAGCATTATGAAGCTTGTAGAGAGACTACTTTTCAAGAAGCATGTCCTGAAATATCCTTATGATCCTTGAGTATCTGGTCTAAAGATGGTCTATACTTCAGCAAGATCACATTCAGATTCATACATCAGACCATATCATGATTTCAGTTCAGTTCCTTATCATCTTGAAAGAGTTTCATGATATGCAAAAGTCTCCATGTTACTGAATATTTTTGTACAGCCTCTATTCTCTAAAGCCTATGTGATGTGTTACATGGAAACAAACTGATCGGAAAGCTTAATTCTCAGGAAGAATTCATGAGGTTTGATAACATTTGACCTCTTTCCGACTGTCTTGGTAGGTTTGTTAGCCTATCCATGATTTCCGACCACTGAAAGAGACAGAAAGGGTTATTACACTGCATAACAGAAATACTCACAAGTTCCATATAGAGGACCTTTTCTTTTGCTGAAGACCTGATTCTGGATGTTCACGGGAGGCTCGGATCATCTCCGTCCATCTGACAGCCTCCTGAAGCTCCATCAGCCTCTCCTTGTACTGATTCCGCTCCATCAAACGCCGCGTGCCATCTCTACACGTGTGAACCGCTTCCGCTGGGCCATTGGCACATCGTCCTGCAAGGAACAGACACAGTTGTTGGGACTCAATTCAATTCTTGCAACCACAGAGTGAGCGAGTTTAGTTTTATGCTGCTTTTAGCAATATTCTAGCAATATCACGGCGGGGGACTCCAGAAAAGGGCTTCACACATTGTACCCATGTAGGGAATTGAACCCAGTGTTTTGTGTGACAAGTGAACACTTTAACCACTAGGCTACCCCACCACCCCTGCAACAACAGAAGTAGCCCTTCTTATTCCTGTGAGCCTCAAAATGATCCCACCACAAATCTGGATACAATCTGACTTTACCAAATAAGGTCAAATCTAAGATCACAGGTGGAACCTGGTGTGAAGAAGTCAGAGAAGGCCACAAAATTAAAAAGGATTCACTGCATGAATGAATCAAAGTTCTGCTTCATCCAACCTCTCAGATTTCCTCTGTAGCTCATTACCTCCTCGTCTCCTGTAGCCTGTTGTTTCTTCTGCATTTCTTCCTTTGTCTTCTTCAGTTCTTCCTCCAGCTGAGTGATGCGAAGTTGTAGCCGGCCCTTCACAGTCTGCAGGGAGGTGATCTCCTCTCGGAGAATCTCCTGCTCACTACACAAAGACACAGCTCAATCAGGAACGGAAACATCAAAATACAATATATAGTAACCGTGCAAACAAATTATTATGCAAACTAATTATGATGGTTATGATGACAGGGACTAATTGGAGGCACTCTTGAACTCTCATCGATGTATTACATAAGTATTCCTGGACTAAGGTGCCTAAGCATTTGAATACCTTATTTTGGTTGTTTCTGTGGGACAAATCGTGTGAAATGATGATCTAATTCTGTATTTCCTGACAGGTGCCTATTGAATATTTTGGTTGTTTCTGTGGGACAAAAGAAATGATGATCTAATTCATTTGACAGCCTATATTTAACTATGTCAGTGGCAGAATGTTATGCTATATTCATTGTGCCATATCACCTTAACAAATCATGTTTAAGTTTTATATCAAGATATTACTTAGAGCTAAAATGGCTAAAAACAACCAACATTTTTGCTGTATTTCAGATATTCGACCTACATCACAGCATGACAGCTGAATGACAGCAGCATCCCTGAACGATGCAAGTCATACATGATTTCTACTCTGTGCAGATACCAAGGATCATAACATGTTTGACATTGAAACCCTTGATCACTGGCTCCTTGCAGATAAGGGGAACAACTCCTACATTCCCTATCACTATCAGTACCTTGAGAGCTCATCCACCTTGGCTATGAGATCATCCTTCACTATGTTCAAGGCATTTCTGAAACACAAGTTTCGTTACAGTTGAATGGCATTTCAAGTAAAAAACAACAAGTAAAGATTACAATTCATTTAAATGGTTGTGCATTATCAAAACATCTTTTTATCAAGTTGATGACATTATCTCTAAAATAACATTAATCAAGTCAACATTTCCCAAATGATTACTTACTTGGTAGCTAATAATTCTGTATTTTCTAGAATTAAATTTTCAAGCTCCTTGCCCATTCCTGAAAAAGCAAATGCAACATTAACTAATAGGTTTATCAATATTTCAACAGTCAATATGCAAATGAAGTAAATACTTTGTAGAGAAAGTGAAACATGAACTCTTAATTCATCCAATTCACAATAAATATAAGTAAAAACATATTATTTTGAGTGAGAAAGTTGGGTTTTACACCATTTTCAGCAATATTCTAGCGACAACATGGTAGGGTACCTCAGAAATAGGCTTCACACATTGTACCCATGTGGGGAATTGAACCTTGGCCTTTGGCATGACAAGCAATGTGTTAACAACCAGGCTACCCAAACAGAGCTATTACTATGAATACTCATTTTCGTAAAAACAATTCTGTAGAATCTATTTTCCACAAAATTAGTCTTCAGTAACCCATACTAATTGTAAGAGACAAATAATGGGATCGGGTGGTCAGACTCGCTGACTTGGTTGACATATGTCATCGAATCCCAATCGCGTAGAACAATGCTCATGATGTTGATCACTGGATTGTCTGGTCCAGACTCGATTATTTACAGACCGCCGCCATATATAGCAGAATATTGCTGAGTGCGGTAAACAATAAACCAAACTAAACCATAAAATTTACAAACTATGCTATGAACTATGGACAATACAAGAGTACAAGGCTTACCAAAGAAATTGTCACTGACTGTAGATCCAGGTAGGTGAAAGGAAAAAGGTTTGATTAGTAACTGACTCTAGACATGCTTAAACAAACACACACACTACACTACATTCCAAAATATTAGTTATTCCACTTGAAACATCTTCAAAGGCAAGTCACAATCTCGCTTTAAAATCAACATCAATAGTTCTCACACAATGACTTTTGCATTGGTGTGAGGTGGTGACCTTTTGAAGGAGGGTAGGAAAAGCATGCTTCCCTTGGCCTGAATTTTCACACTTCAAGCTCTTTTTATTTAGTTAATAATGAAAACAATTCTATGTTAGCATCCTTGATTGGTCATGCAATAGGTTCGTAGCTATTTTTGTCCAACCTTCTTGATAACCACTGTTTGGCCCAATCCAATGTAAAAATCCACTATCCATTCTTTAGAATTTGAGCATTCAAGTTCATGAAAATACAGCCAAAGCGTAATCATCAGTAACCCACAATATACGTCTATACTGCTTTAGTTTGACAAAATCATACTTCACTGTATGAAAGAAAGAAACTGGAATGTGAAGCCTCTTGTTCTGTTTGTTTGGATCATGGAATGGGGAATTTGTTCACTGAAGTATTTCCAGGGCAATAAAGGCCATATGGCTCCTAAGGTAAAGAATAGGTTTTCAATCTTGCCAGTTAAACGTCATGTTGATCATTATCAATATCCGAACCAGGCAACTTGAAATCATATTTCTGAAATTTGGTCTGATTCTGCACTGTCATTTCTAGTTTTCTCAATCAAAGTTAAAAAAGTCTCAGTGACTCAGTGACGATGTATTAGACTAACGACTAGATGACTGCTGTGGGCACTGAGAGTGGTTATATTGGGTCCCCGAACTCGCCCCAAGAATGAGTATAGTTGAAAGGTTAAACCATATTTCAAATACAAAAAATAACCATCAAATTTAAACACCTATGTGGATGTAACCCTACTATCCTGTAAGTAATACTGTGGAAGTATTCACAGATAGGCCTATAGCTGCAGACTTAGCAATCTCTGATGCTTCAAGTGGAATACACAATGCTGATGCTTTATTGTGACTATCACTTGCATGAGTCAACTCATACATCTCAAATGAACTTATATCAATACCAAACCATACCAATCTTCAAACATTCTAAATTTATCCAAACATTTATCAATAATATATCTATCATTGTTCCTTTTGAAGAATATTTACAATAGTTATTCTTGCATTTTGGACAAAATTTACACAAAAATCAAGGCCATAGAATTGAAAATAAATTCAGAAAAAACAGATCAACAAAATGCAAAAGCTGTTCAGTTCTGAGAGTTTTGTGAAATAGGGTGTAGAGGCGACTGAAGCAGTGTTCCATCCCCTGCCAAGTCAGCGTTAGAGATGATGCTGTGATCCTTTGTAAAGCTCATCATGAAATGTGGACAATAAGCTGTAAAAACCCTGGCCAAATGATCTACCGATTGGATTGCATCAAACATGTTGATCAAAGTATTTTACATGGAATTACAGAAGCAGATATAGAACGCTAGATTTGACAAAGACTTATGACACTAAATACTGTAGGACAGCAAATCATTATCGAGTATGACATGTTAGTTGTAAGGAGCTTTGCAAGATCAAAAGCAAAAGATTTGGATAGTGTATGTTGATGGCTGTTTCAGTTCCCAACAGACCTCCAACACAACAAGGACGGTGATGGAACAACCTCTGGCAGGGATTGAAATTACATGTACTGGAATATCATATCCCTGTTATGGTCTGGTCATGGTATATACTTAAAATCAGACAATGATCTAACTGACCTTCAAGTAGCAAAAAGATATTAATTAAATAATAAAGCATGTTCCATTTCCCTAAACCCTGTACATCTCTGATATATAAAAGAGGTAAGGTCCCCCCCAACCCTGTCTACCCTGCTCCATATGCCCCACCCACCTACCTGCAGAAAACTTCTCAAAAACTACCATCGATCTGATAAATGGATGATTCCTTCTAATAAAAAGATTTCTTGCTGTTGGTCTAACTGCAGCAAACACTATTATTCCACTAGCTGTTAGCAACCAGGTCCTCGATTCACAAAGCTACCGTAGCACTACGACTGTTGTAAATCTATGTAACTGACTGACTGACTGACTGAGTTTGGTTTTACTACGCTGTTAGCAATATTCCAGCAACATCACGGCGGGGGACACCAGAAATGGGCTTCACTCATTGTACCCATGTGGGGATTCGAACCCGGGGCTTTGGCGTGACGAGCCAACGCTTTAACCACTAGGCTACCCCACCGCCCGTAAGTCTATGTAACAGTATAGGAGGTACAACAGTTATAGTGCTACGATAGCTTTGTGAAACGGGGGCCAGATTTGGCGAATTTCTATCCCTGACCAGCAGATACATTGAGCGTACTATTCTCCTACCGACAGAGTCTTTGTCATTGTCTTTATCTCCATCGTCGTCACTATCTGTAACAACAGGTATAACAAACAACATTCACATGCGACACAACACATGCCACTAAATCAATGCAATCAACAGAATCAATGCAATTCAATCACATCTACAGGGTGAGTAAGAGGCATAGACAGGTGTCTCCGGAAACCTTTCTACAGTTTTTCCAATCTTACATCTTCCTAAGCAGATCAATATCTGTTTCAAATATCTATTTTATATAAATATAGGAGGATTTAATTTTACAGACTTACTAAAGAACAAAATAAGATTTCTTTTGCCAAAAAATCAAATAAATGTACGAAAATGTTTTTCTTGTACCATGAAAAATCCCTCAAAGGCCCTTCACCATAATTCATGAAATTTTCATAGATAGGCCTCATCACAAATGAATAAATAATAAGTGGGGTACATGATGAATAATATTTACTTATCCTCATGCAAATGTCAGGATAAAACATAAGATAATTTAGTGTCTTCATTATACATTTAAGCCTTCAGAAATAAAACTCATAGTATTGACATCTTTTGAATTAACAGAGAGAACACTTCTTGAAGAGAGGGCTTTTACTTGTCTGATTAAACAATCATGTGAGTACCATGTTGACTTGATTCGGGTTAGTTCAGCAAAATGTTTGATGAAAATTATTTTGTGAATTTTTAATACAATGACTGAACACAAATTAATATGAATTTGATGATAATATGTGTAATCATCGTGATCACATCCATACAGTTTTAAATAAAATACCTCAGGTCTGTTAATAATCCTTTTATATTTCACACCCAACCTTATGAATCACACAAATTATTTTCAGAAATGTGCTTTCATTGAAAGCATATTGTTTTAAACATCTTCAAGAATAACACTGAACCATCAATGTTTTCTCATGGTTCACTCCCAAAAGATAGACCTCCCATAAGACAGACTCAATGAGTACACTAATTAGCTGAGCCATGCTGTCCACCCCTATTTAATTAATGAGCTGACCCAGAGTCACTACAGAGTATAGTAACAGCACACTCCTATCGCCTGTGCCCTTCTCAAAACATATTACTAATCCTTTTACTGAACAGAACAGAATAGAACTGAAATTTTATTCTCAAAAATCACATATAGTGACACAGAGAACATACAGCATATTGATACATATTAAAACATTGAGCAAAGTCCAGTTTTGATAAATTTGGCAACTTTAGAGTTAAGTGGTGAATAATCACATTTCATTAGATAAACAAATTTTTCAATAGTACGATGTTTACAGAAATATTGGGGAAGAAATTGATTTCTGAGGGCATTTAGTGCTGGACAGTATAATAAAAAGTGAAGTTCATCACAGACATCTAAATTCACACTATGTTTCCATTCTTTACAATACTGGTCAAACACATTCAAAGTTTTTTGCAATCCATCACTTGTTTCAGCTAATATGACACTATCGTCAGAGTTAAGAAATATCAACAATTTCATAAAGATACCAAGCTGGTCCTCAATAAGCTTATTTACATGTTGTTGAATTAGTTTTTGCAAATAACTGGAGAACAGGATGTTTTTATTACTGAAGATGAAAGTGAAATAGTATTTATAAAATTCAGTATAAACATGTTTTATAATAGTTAATTTTCCCATGACTTTTTTTCCGTGACTTTTTTCCGATCAACCCTCTAAATGGCTACCTGTATGCCAAGAGCAAGGTGAAAGGAGAAAATGATGATGTTCAAGTGACTTTCTAATAAGTGTTATCTGTGCTCTTATCTGACATGTGATGTAAAATAATATGGTGCTTGGTCTCATATGTTTGATAGGTACATGTATATAAATTATTGTTTTTGATAATATTCACAAGTAAATGTGATCTGGCAAATAGATGTTGATGTACATATGTGTTGATGCAATATGTCTTAATTTAAAAATCATAATTCATTACATGAATTGATAAAACTATAGTTAATACCTAATGTTTTCTTTTTTATCTGGGCACATACCATTATTATCAAGGGTACAGCTTCATTAAGCCTTATGCAACCAACCATAAAATGTGTTGTTTTAAGAGGTCTGTCTTTTGGGAGGTCTGTCTTATGGGAAGATACCTTTCCCACACTTAAACATTAAACGTTTGCCCTTACCTATAGAGAGATAATAACCTTATACTTTTTGAATAAATATATATTTGTGAATCATACTGGACATTAAGCTTAAACATGTTTATCATTTTCCATGTGTCTGTCACATTTGTTTTAAGTGCATCACAAAGTATTGTTGTGAAATACTGTATGTGCAAAATAACTTCTAATTTTGACCTACATGCACCTAGAATTGTTGGCTTTTTATCCATTCCCTTACAATTTGACCCATACCTATCAGCACTATGATACCAGGAAATATAACCCACTGTCTAGTTTAGTTTCTACAATCAGAGCTAACTTTCAACATATATTTTCAGTTATTTACAATGACTTAACCAGTGACCACAAAAGAAACAGCTTTGGCACAAGAGTGATTGTGAATTAATATTAATCATAGATATGATTTTGTCTTTCTCTTTAACAATTTAACAGATTTAATGAAAATGTTAACTTGTTATAAATAACAGGGGTAGAAATAACTCAAGCCTGCTGACTCAGTGATACACAGAAATTGCTATAAATCCACTAATCTGGAAGGCCTAGTGATATCTCCTTGTGGACCTCCACTTATTCAAATGACAACTCTGTGGGTACTTTTTGTAGACACTTGAAATTAAAACATATTCCCATTGTGTACATATCTAACAAATTGTAACAACACTATCTCTTAGAAAAACATATATAATTATTGCTCCAGAGATAGCAGACTAGAGCTATTTTCTATCCATGTGAGTGTTACAAGTCTGGTTTGAAACAAACTTATGAACTGCTACATAGTTTATATGTGATGATTTGAATATATCCCGGGAGACACTTGTCACAAAATGAAATATGAATGAATAATGAGCAACATAAGAAATGATCAAGCAATGAGAGAGTTCAAGGGGTTTGAGGGTCGAGAAATGACATGACACGACATACCAACACAGGTTCAGTTATCATTATACTTGTCATACATCACGTTTAATGAATTCTAGTATCTTCAGATATCTGCTGGGTGGGGGCCAGTTCTTCACATTATCAGCCCCAACCCAGGATACTTAACATTCTTGCAGCACATGTTTTTTTCATTTTCAGTTTTTCAATCAGCAAATGACTCATGGAGCTTGTTCAGCAAGGATATAAAGAACTCATGTTGGACATATGTTAAGTGTCAAGTCACAAGGTTTGGGAGACACTCCCACAGCGGAAACTGAATGAACACACAATAGAAACATCAAAGATGGTGGCTGCTAGTTGACTGAAACAGGCAATGAGGATGAAACAAGCAATATAATACAGCTATGAGGAACAGAGTTGCAGGTCACATGACCACATGACTGCTGCATGCTGGGACTCACCGGAGGAGGCATACTCAGCTGGGTTCACCTCGCGGCCTGTTGTTGGGCAATGTCATATTACATTCCATCAAACAAGTTAGTATCACTAGCAAAGCCTCTTGCACAGAAAAGTCTTAGCTACACATCTCTAGATAAGCTATGCATTTGCAAAATAAATAACTATTTTCCAATATATTTGCGTACCCATATGAACAAACCCAATAACAAAATACAATAATATAACACCCAGTACAATAGTACATAATGTATCCTTTTCATCTTGATATCTTTCTTAAGGATGAAATGCAGGCATCACACACACATGAACTCAACAGAAGAGGATATTGCATAAATAAAGATCCATGCCTTGCTTTTTATTGATTAGAAATGTACACGACTGTTGTGAGTTCATGTGACACAATTGAGGCAGCCCAACAACAAATTCAAAGTTGAATTGAAGTACTGAACCAGTAATTGAAGATGAAATATTTTTCTAAAAACACTTACTCACTGGTGTAGAAGTACCTAATAGACTGTACCCAAGACAGTAAAAGCATGTTCAGTATGCAAACAATTATCATTCCCCAAAGGGAATGATAACTTATAGGCAAATACTTGAGGTTAAAAAACTATCAGGTGCTGTGAAGATATAGACCATGGCCCCATTCCATAAAGCTATTCGAATGCTAGGGTGATTAGCCCGATACTTTTGCATAGGCTCACTCAGTCACTACACTGAGATCACTTTGTGCAACAGGTCCCTTGTCTGCTTGGGGTCAATAACTAAGACTTCTTTGTGCAAGTAGGCAAGGTATGTATGGTTCTCAAATGAAAAGATACAATTCCGACATTTATCCTACAATTTGAATGACTTATGGCCAGAAGGGTTTGAGGGGAGTTGTGAAAACATCACAAGATGTAACCAGTCAAGATGATGTACACAGAAGTTTGAAGCATTGATTATAAGACAATTTGTCTTTAATGAGCACACTTACAAAACACTGTCATAAGCAGACGAGACAGAATTGGACAAGTGCCGCAAATAGACATCACAGAGAACCACACATAGTCCTAGGTCTTCAATAGTCTTCTCAATCAACAAGAGCAATAGTTGTGTCTCAGATGGGTCATCTTAGTGTTTCATGCAAAGGTCATACAGTTAGTTTAAGTATTCTCATTACTGTATCAGATGCAGCACAATGCAAGGTGGAAACATTCCTGTATTTGCTAATTAGGCTGAGTGAGTTGTGGGGCCAACTTGATGTAAGTGTCTCACCAGTAATATCAACACCAAAGTCAACTTCTGCAATGTCAGCTCCCTCACCAGCCAGCTCATCAAATATAGTCTTATCATTCCTTCTGAAACAGACATTTTTGTGTTCAAGGAATATTGTATAATACACGAGTGAAAATGTGTAACTTCAGTACATAAAACATGTTCTAAAGTAACAATGCTAGAAACTGCCTTACCTTGACGCTCTTTTGGAACCAAATGAGTCATCATCTAGTTCTGGTGTAGAAGCAACTATAGATAGTAACGTTTCACCCAAACCTGAAACAGAAACATTGTATTTCCTAAAGTCTGCAATAAGAATAACTCAAAGTTGAATATCACTAATTCACAAACCTTACAGTTCTCATTTTTGAGTTAATTTACTAAGTACATCATCACTCACACATTAAACTGATTCTGATTTATGTCAGAATTTCAACATTTTGCAACAAATTTCAAACTACTCACCAACAGGTAGAATACCAAAGGAGCAGCATTAAAAGAAAGTAACATTGTGTTGTTAGTTATCAATAGGCAATGCAAGTCCAAACATCAACAGCTGATAACCCTCTGAATAAGATTCAGTGAACTCAACACATTACAAGAGTGACATAGAACTGAGTTAACTGTCAATGATGTTCTCATACACTGACTGGTCCCTTTTACAGATCCTGGTACTATGGTAAATGGTAGCTACAGATAACTTTTTGTGTCAATGACTAATGTACTCGCTTGTGTTCATCTCAGTTGGGCATCCTAATTTTCCTTTGAGTAACCAAATATATTGTACCCATCTCACTCAAACTCAATTGAGTATTTTGTAATTTTCCATTAATTGTACAAACATAATAAAGTTTAAATGTTGGTTACGTGTTTGCTATTTATATTTGATCTGTAATATGAGAAACAATAGGAAAGATTGCACGTTGCCAAGTTCAGGTGCTGAAATAGAACCTCTCAATATACCAGAGTTGTTGTATGTTTTTTTTTAATTGTACGCATGTAAGATCAAATTTATTGAGAATTTACAAAAATTCAAGCGTACTTGTACGCAATAGACTTAATAGGAATTGGGTTTTCACATAAATATTTGAGTATTTTATGCAGATACGCAGCTTATCTAAACCTCTGGTAAACCTTAAAATCAAGAAAGACCTAAACTCATAAATATTTATTCTAAAACAGAAAGAATTAGCAGTCTGTGAGAGTCATTAATACCAATCATATGACCAAATTGGACTTAAGCTACCTTTTGTTTGAATCAAGATTTTATGTTGGGCATGGCATACAAGGTAGGTGATAAGACAGTAGAGGCACCAAGGGGATTCAAATCTTATGGGAGTGGGGAGGAATGGATTACAAACCTTCAACACTCTCTCACTTTGACATAAAAATTGGTAGGAAGAGATTTTGAAGTGATTTTGCAGGAGACAAATAGCATTTGCTTATTTTCATAATTTAATCAGCTTTACCTAAGACATTTTTCAACACCAGGAAAGTCATCACCAAATTTAGGATCTTCGGATGTTTTGATTGATAATCAACGTCCTGGAGAAGGAGCTGATCTAAAACTCTAGATTTCTGCTCCAAATTTCAACATGTCACTCTTTGCAGTTGCTTTCACTGTATCTCATCCAAACCCATGTAAAGCTGACAGCCACCAATACCCTCGACACATGTAGCATGAGTAGCGAGACACATGACCAGCGAGACACATGACCAGCCACATCACTCCCCTCCCCCACTCACCCGATGGTACAGAAATGGGGTCTTCCTCAAACGTGTCTTCTGATATTAAACGTTCGACACCCTTGTTCTGAGTATGAGGTTGTTGTTGAGAGACACTACTGTCAGGACCACTAGACACAGTGTTATCTAAGTCTCTATCACTAGATACTGAGTTATCACGGGAATCTGGCTTTCTCCTCAGTTGGACTGGCGGTTCCTCAGCGGAATCGGGGGTTTGTGACTCGGGGGCGGATGATTTTTCTGACAAGCAAACAGCAACAAATATACAAGCAAAATAAACAAAATAAAGACCAATTTTAACTGAACAAACACCCGATAGAACAAGTTTATGGTTAAAACAAAAATATGTGATTTTGGTAGGAACTGTACGATGTAGGTAAGAAAGGTATTAGTAATGAATGAAAGTAAGAGGTGGGGATATAGGGGAAAAGAATTCAAAGCTGGGTGGGGAAATGAGTAAGTGAAAGACAAATGTATTGACAAAAGAAATAGGAATTTGGAAAGAAATCTGCTGTTTGCATTGATCAGGTACTACATGAAGATATAGTGTGCCATTCAGGAACAGTGTAATCTGAGAGAATATTTCTTATATCATGAAGTTTTGTAGTTGTTCTTATCAACTGATGTAAACTTTACCAGTTTCAACTATTTCACACGAGAGTTTTAAAACTAAACGACATGTGGACTCCCATTACTGTCACAAAATGATCAAAGAATGTTGTATTTGGATCAAAAGCTAAGATTTGAAGATCAAAATGCTGAAGGGTGGTAATTCTGATTGGTATCTGAAATAATGGCAGTCACACAGAGGTTCTGGAGTGAGGTAGAATTTTGACAAATTAATGACAGATCATCCATGCATAGGTGACCAAATCAGAATTTGTCTCTCAGACATCAATTTGGAGGGCTAATCAATTGTAGAAAATGTGGGAATGCTATGAATCAAGCCATAAACACAACCAGAGAGTACATAAAACAGATTTCTATTGTGTAATTACTATTGGGTGAGATGTACACAGGCCATAACCAAACCCCTATAAACAGTTGCTCCTTCCTGGATGACAACCCCATGGTGAGGTTTGTGCACCAACACCAGTGAACACACAATTATGCATTAGCTTTGTAACTTAAACACCTGTTGCATAATGCCCAAACTGGAACAAACAACCATTACATAAGGACCTGCCACAAGTTCCAGGTGCTATTTGTTACTGACCAATCACATTAGATTTCTGTCATGTGACCCATGGAATACAACAAACCAATCAATGAAAGAGGTCAGCTTGTGAGTGAGATGTCCAATACTGATCTTGAGTGACCACAGCATGTACCTGGACAGAGTACAGTTTGTAGTAAAAAACCCAATTTCAGCAATAGTCTATTTAATGATGCACTGTTCAATGTAATAACATAATCCAAGAGTAGGTTCTTTTCACTGTTCCAGAGGATCCTTTTTACTATAAAGCATGCTATAAAATGACAGTTTCCAAGTTATTCAGTTCCCAGATGTCAATAATCTATTTCTGTTCAAAACTTAGTTTTGGAATGTATGGCAATGTTGTTATACCGGCTGGGTGATAATCACTATAAAATGGGGCCATTTATGGTCAGGATATGAGCACAATACTCAGACAAATGACAATATTTTGTCAAAATTCTCAGACAAGGTTGTTGATCATGCATATCGTTGAGGGACAATAGAAACAATAAGGGCAATGACGTATTTATTTGCTTTAATGTTCCACTCAACAACCACAGAAGTAAAACATTCCACATGAATAGATCCAGTTGTCTAGTCTAGTAATGTCTCTCATAAATATGATCCTGTCAATAATAAACATGAAGACATATAAGGGACAAAGAGGGAATAGGTGGATCTTGAAATGAAAATCTACATAGCTGTTGAGGAGGAAAGATTTGTTTTGGATGAATCACTGTTCAGACAAACCAGAACATGCTCAGGTTACACATTTCTTTCACTAAAATTTGCACATGATAGGAAACATGTTCCTTCCTCTCAGACTGACCTTTCTCAACATCCATAGAATAATCAGCTAATGTTAGTTCCGAAACTTAATGTCAAGCAGCTGTCATAAGCTGGAGGGGCAACATTCAGTAACCAACTTGAGATATGAGCATGAATCACTGGAACACTTATGCATTCTTATTTTCTTCATGAATATATATCCTGGTATCCATATTCATTTAAAAAAATGTTACTATGGTTGCAATATCAGCCTTTATCTGATTCACTTAAATACCTGAAAACTACTTCTAAAACTAACAAAGAAAATGTCCATCAGCACATAAACAGAATGTAATGTTTTAATTTTGACCACGGTAACACAAAGTTGAACTCTTTCCCCTTATCTCTAACACTTGAACAGAAAGTGTGTCATTATGCAGCTTGCATGTTACATGGGAAGAGTAAGTTAAAAACAAAAGAATTTTCAAACTGTCCAATCTGGAGCAACCTCCAATCAGCTAATCAACTTCACTAAGGTAATCAGCAGGATGGCTGACACTGTAAGCCTAATTGTACTCTCTGCCTGAGCATTAATTGTTTATAGGGCCTATACTACAGCCTGCAACACCACAGATACCAAATCCCAAGGGATTATTTCCCAGTTTATTACAAACCTCTGAGGATGAAGGCATTCAGCAATACATCAGCTCACAACGGCCTTGATACATTTGACCTATGATATTCCGAGCTCAGAACATGTTGTATTGGTTTAATTCTTACTCGAACCCCAATTTATAAAATAGATTTATCTGTAGGTAAGATCCCCTTCAATGATTAAACTTTGTCCTTAAATTTAAAAAATGAACATTCTACTATTTGCATTTATTATTTATTCATTATTCATTTATGTGTAATGAGAGTTATGAACAAAAACAACACTTAATCTATCCCATGTATTATGGGAACAGACAATTAAACATACCACTTCAAAATTGATCTAACTTTCCCTTTGGAAATTATTCGTATTTCCATCATAACAGGACCCAAAAGTATAGACAAGGCAACTCAACACAATAATTTTGGGATGTCTGGGACATTGTTTGAATTTTCTACACCAAGGTGTAACATGTCAATAAAATGCTACTCCTACAAAACGTTTATAATCACCAATTTTAATATTGCATCTAAAAAAAGGTTTACCATTGATTCAAAACTCAATGTTTGAGACAAATTTGCATATCTTTTCAACTGTTTCTATTTTCAAGTCTGGAACATTTTAACATTGTACGCAATGCAAAACGTAAACATATTGAAGCCTTTCACAAAACAGAAGAGAAGTTTGTTCTCATAAAAATCACACAAAGTGATATAGAGAACATAGTGAAATCTAAAAAGAAATACATTCGTTTACAACATTTGTTAATTTTAATACAATTGGATTATAATTTTACTCTTTAAATGTACCTGTTATCAATGAAATACAACTCTCCTAGGTCTAACAGTGGATTTATTTTTTGATTTGGGTGTTTTGCAGACATTAATGTATACACAAGGCTGAAAAGGAGCCTCTAAAATCACTAATAAACCTCAAAAAGGACTTGATTACAATTAATCAATTTCTGATAATGAGCAAATCTACCCCGTGTTCTGACACTCCCTGCAGGTTGAGATTAACAAGAGTCCAATTCTAAAGGATAATTAGCACTAACCAATGCCAACACCAGGGTTAGAATCAGCCCCCCACAGGTTCAATCCACCTACATAATGGCACCAACTGACAAGGCAGATTTACTAAAGGCATCTGACAGAATCTCCAGCTGAGTTCTCAGTAGCTGACGCAGACTACATGGCAACTTGTACTATCATTCCTGCCTAAGCCCTTTTATGGCAAGCAGAAGGTGTTTTAATATCTTCATATCCAGCTATCATGTCACAATAATGATTATAAAGATAATAAATAATACCAAAAGGCCACCCTTTTCATTCATTCAGTCCAATGGACTGAGTTTAGTTTTATACTTTTAGCAATATTCCAGCAATATCATGCCTGGGAACACCAGAATCGAACCCGGGTTTTCAGTATGACGAGGGAATGCTTTAACCACTAGGCTACCCCACCACCCACTCATTCAGTCTAAACTCTCTTTCTTACATAATGACGCACTTAATGGGTAACAACTTCTTGCTTATTACATAGAGCAAAATTTCTATGTTGATTCTTACACCATTTTCAAGCTATAAGTGGCCGAATGAAGTTGTTACATCACAAAATCAACATACTTGGAGGTTTTTGTTTAAAATATTCTGACCATAAAAAGCAATTTGTATTTTGTGGGATATTTTTATGAATTAATGTGCTCAGTCTATAATACAAACATGTGTAAAAAAATATTCATGATCTGTATCTTTTTCATATCAGTACAGATATCTAATGTTGCCAAATAAAACATTCTAGTTCTGTGATCATGACGTTATGTACTTTCAGACATACAAATGAAACTTGAAGTTGGCACTTGACTATCAATATCCAGTTTGCTTCTATAATTCCAAGACAACTTGTCGAGTGTTCAACGTATATTTCTATTGCTTGCTTATGATTCAGGCCTCCAAGCATTCTAATTACATTTGTAATTAGCAATAATAAAATCAGCTCTAAACAATAAAATGATTATCTCCTACAAACTGCTTTTCTTTCTCAGTCTAAAATCACAGTATTTTCCTATCTAAAATGCTTAATACCATGATTGCCAATAGTTATTTAATTGACAATTGACAAAAATCAAATGCAAAAACTCATTACAAGGCACTTGACTCGCCTCAGATCATTAACCACACTTACACAATAGCCCTAATGACACACACACCTTTATTGAATTTCTTTCCCACAGTGCTTTCACAGTACTCATAAAACCTCAATTTGTAAATGAGAACTTGGTACTTATCATGTTAGGCCTGGGGGCACATCCACTCAAAACCCTTTGTACTTGTAGTCCCAGATCACAGGTGATCACATGTGTAACACAAAGAACAACTCAAGTGCCCCAGAAATTAGAGCGACATCAGTGTGATGATATTTTCATTTTAATTCTAAACTTATAAACTGCCTCTCAATGAGGTCCTCATTTGTCATAGCTCTCTCCTTTTACTAAAAATCAAAGACTAGAGACCAATGTCTTGTTCACTGATCAATGTGAGCTTCTGTTTTAAGTCTTGGAAATACTGACATTCATTCCTACAAACAACACCACTGCTAATGTGATGTAAATCAAAATGACGTAAGGTAATGGTTTCAATGCATAAATGTATGCATGATTTATTTATATGTTTGAATTATTTTATGATATGTATGACATGGGACAAAATGACAGTGACAAAGAGATGGTGATGAAGAACATGCCAGTGATGGTAACAACATGGACAAAATGATGATGATGATGAGGCTGACTTCACACCTTATTTACTTTTATAACAAAACACGGGACTACCTTTTCATGAAAAAAATATGACTAGACATCACAATAAAATGAGCAATGAAGGGCAAAGAAATAACAGAGATGGGAGAAGGTCTATGTGAAAGCTGAAGACAGACATTAGAGAAGACACAAGACTAGGAAAATGGAAAATCAAGCACTGTTAGGCTGGGGATGATGAAGGATGAAAAAGAGAGAAATCAGTGAAAAGAAAAGAGGAGGAGTTCAATTGCATAAACATGTTTACATAATGTACAACATTTTTTATTTGCAAGTATTGAAATAAATCTTTTAAAAAAAGAAAATTGACAACATGCTTCCCATAGGGGACATTTACCAGCAGATAGAATCCTTTAAATTTCTGACGCCAAAGTATGTGTACCATCATTAGAATGATAAGGTCGTCATATAGGACTCTCTATCTGCTGACAAATATACACAAGAACATGGAGACACAACACACTGCAGTACCCGTAGCAGCAGTGCCAAGGGTCTGAGTGAAAACAAAGTAGCACTATAACTTGCTGAGCAATCCAAAACGAACTGTTCAGTTGCCAAAGTCAAATGTTATTTTCTAAAAGTTCCAACAGGAAGAATTGACAAATTCCAAGTTTATGAAGCATTTTGTCACAAACAGGTCAGAAATCATGATCCAGTCAAAACTCTTCCATCCAGTAATAATGGTTGCTACATTCTGACTAATATCAAGAAGCAAGAAACCAAAACACCACAGTGGGCCTGTAAAAGTGTTTTAAAAATGATCATGAGTCGTGGACTTATTAAAATACATCTGACTTTGACATATAACCAGAAATAAGATGCAACAACACATATCTCTTGCCTCCAAAAATAAAAATGGTAACTGCAAAGAAACCAGATCACAGGAAGGCAAAAATTAACGAAGAAGCACTAACTAAAGCGTGGAGAACACTTCCAGCTGCTCAACACTTAAAGCAAACATTGAGGGTGCATAGTTCCACACCGGACCATGCTGCCAAGCACTTTCATTACATGCATGCTTCACTCGATGAATTCGTTTGACTGGCTTAGAGCTAATGCCAAATCGCTTGGGCCGTTTAGAGGTGCTGGATTTGGACCGTGTAGGGGTCTTTTCTTTAGAATAAATGGGCGACCCTTTGGCTGATTTTGGGGTACAGAGTTTGTTATATGTGCTTGTGAATTTAGCAGAGTTTGGTGTGGTGGATTTGTTCAATGGACTTGGGACTTGGGTTGACTTTGGGGTGCAGAGTTTGGTTACTGGACTTGCGAAAATGGCAGGGTTTGGTGTACCAAATTTGTTAACAGTTCTTATGATGCTTGCTGATTTAGGGGTGCAGTGTTTAGTTACAGGACTTGTGAATATGGCCGGGTTTGGTGTACCAAATTTAATAACAGTGCTGATGTTTGCCAATTTTGGGGTGCAGTGTTTGGTTACAGGACTGAATATGGCTGAGTTCGGTGTACCAAATCTTTTAACTAAGCTCATAAATTTGGCCGAGCTAGGTGTACCCACTTTACGAATCCCATGCTTTGGGGTACTATGCTGCGGGCTATGTTTTGCGTATATGGGAGTAACATGTTTCCTACTTGTTCCTGTGGTGGTGCTTCTTTCGGCCACACTGATGTTGTCAGTCAGCTGTTCCTTATCATGGGTCATCTTTCCTTTGGAATCAGTTTCCGACATCCTGGCCCTGCCAGGTTCGGGGGACTCCAGGTCACTCAGCTCACTCTTGATGCTGACATTTGAATCACGGCCACTCTGTGGTGATGTCAGATCAAAGCTCATGGGAGAACTGTCTGACTTAATGGGCGTCTCTCCTGATCCTTGAACGAACATGCTGACGGGACGCAGAGACGGAAGCTGGAACCCACCCCTGAAGGAAAACAATGTTGATTAAGAGTTTGATCAGGACTAAATGGAATTTCTATGCGTATTGTTTGTAAGTGATAGTTTAGTATGGCACTCTTCCAGCCATATCACATAGCCCTGGTTGACCAGCAGTTGCAATCAATGATACATGCTGCCATTATATTCAGGGAGTAAGTGAGCACTGCTTAATGCTGCTTTTAGCAATATTCCAGCAATATCATGGTTGGGGACACCTGAAATGGGCTTCACACATTGTGCTCATGTGGGGAATCAAACCCAGGCCTTTGGCGTGACGAGTGAATGCTGTAACCACTAGGCTACCCCACTGCCCTGCTGTCAAGTGAACAGTGGGGATTAGGATGTATTTTATATCATGGCATGTCAGTTATATAGGAGAAAAGAACAAAGTATTGCAGTCAAAACCATTTACTTTCTTTTTTGTTTAATGCCATACCCAGCAATATTCCAGCTATATGTTGTAAGTCTGTAAATATTTGAGTCTGGACCAGGCAATCCAGTGATCAACATCATAAGCATTGATCCACGCAGTTGGGATACGATTATCATGGGTAAAACCATTTATTACTTAGGTAAAACCCACAAGCATTGGTATGGTATTCATAATCAAATCTGGTATTAGATCTTATAACAATTGATTTTACAAGTCTAAAAAACACAATTCTACATATTGCAACTCCTGCCCCTGCCCCTGTTTTGGGGATACGATGACCATCAGCCAGGCCACACTAACTAATGTAATCACAAGAAAGTAACACAACATTGCATTTGTTTCCTGTATCTGAACAGAACTTACTTTATTCTGGGACTGTTTCCAGACAGCTCAGACAGTTTATCAGTTCCCATCAGGATCTTGGTTCTCTCCATGTAGTCCATGTGAGTCTTGAACAACTGTCAACATTGAGGTCTCATTAGGGACACAGAAAACCAGCAGAATTGAAAATGTCATTTTTGTTTACTACAAACATATGAATAACTGCTCAGGTAACAAGTATTTCACTTGCATGCATGAAATGTCGGAAAAGCAATTCAGATGATGTAATGAATGATTCCTACCTCTGTGTAGCGTTCATGGAGTTTGTTATATTCTTTCTTCATTTCCGATTCCTTTTCTTCTAATCTTGACACTGAAAAGAAATGAGTCAGTTGATGAATATTCTTTTCAACTCCATTCAACAATTACAGTATGAGTTCATGTGTGGATTCAAATCAATAGAAGTTATGTATTTAGGAAAGTAGGTCATGTAATAGGCAATATTATTTTCAAAGTCGAAACTTTTTGAGACTTTCCGAATTACTGTATGCTTTGGTGTGCTTTCAAAATCATACAGCCAATCTGCATTCATAAGAGTAAAAGCTTTTGACTTGATATATTTTGTATTTGTATGTCTTTCAAAATTGCGTAACATCAAGCCCTAGATGCATTTATGATGCAGACTTAAAAACTAGGGTAGGTCCTAGAATCCTTGAGGTTTGTTTCTATGACCTCTGAGTATCATTCAAAGCCCACTAATCTCAAACTTTAAACATTAAAGCTATGACAACGACCAGTTAAATTACATGTTCAGTTTTACACACTCACATTTTAATCACTGCTCTAGTGTATATCCAATGTACATCAAAATATCAGGCTGTGTGAATTTTGATGCAAAACAGAGTATCCACAGCACATGTTTGCAATAAATATTATCCAATTACTGAGATACTCACCATGATCTGCTGAGTTCTTAGACTTCAGTTCCAACATGCGAACAATTGACTCAAGGCTTTCCACTTTGTCCTGGAGATCTTTCTTTTCTCCCTCCACGGCATCTTCCATCTCAAGATATTTCTAAAGAAACAGAAATATTGCAATAAAATAATGCCATCAATGAGCCAAGCACTCTTGTGTAAACAATAGAATACTAGAAGACATTTACAAGACTTAGAACTTCTCAAGATAAAAATTATACTGTTAAACAGTCTGTAACTTTTATAATATCTAAATGGTTATTATATATAAAAGTGACTAGGCTTTGGCACTAGTATACTTTGTTTACATTGGTAGCAATTACTGATAACACTGTCAATATCTCATTTCACATTGGGACAGAAATCTTGATGCATTAAAACCAGAACTGCAGAGTTACACAAAATCAGGATGTGACACATAAGCCTGCTTATTTGGGAATAGTCAGTTTCAGGAAGAACTAGAGACATTTCTTTGTAGACAAGTAGCAGTACCATTGCCATCATTAACACTATGGCAACACTGTTTCAGAATAATTCTGCAGATTTGTAGGGAGAAGATATTTTTTACAGTTGCATTTTTACACTTTAACCTTGTTTACCACTGACTGAAGGAATGATTTGGATGGGATATTGACACTATATTACATCTCTCTCTCTCGCCCTGGGGTCAGATGGCTTGACAAGGAGAGCTGAACTCTGACATCACATCAAATGTAAACAAAGATTTGACCTTTAAACTGTACTGCACACTGCAGTGAAGATCACTGTGTTTAAACTCATGCCATTATTACATGTGATACAAATACATTTATTGGGCTGGTACACTCATATATGGTAATCATGGAATATAAATTAGGTGCCATCGCGTTGCACTTACACTGACATTGTCATTGACACCTGTCGAACTATTAGCATGGATGATCTGGTAGTGTCACTGTTTCTCCTTACTCCCTTGTTCAAAACCACATAATATTTGGCAAGCGTTGTGTCAAACAAACAATTGGGTAAAATATCTCACCTGTTCTGAAGCTTTACGCAGCTGTTTTTCTCTTTCATATTGGGTCAGTAGCTGTTCATTATCGTCTCTCAAAAGCTCACACTCAACATCTCCTTCTTGTTTTTCGGAATAGGCATTATCCAAAGCTTCCAGAATACCCACGATAAGTGGCATGAGTCCCTTGACAACATCTTCGTCGTACTTTTTCATCATACGCTCAAACTCCTTATAAATAGTCGCTGCAAGAGACGACACTTTCTCAGACATGACATGTCCTTCTTCAACCGTTCCGTACACCGTTTCAGCCATTTTGGAGAATGATCAGACGATAAGACCGGGTCAGATGGGAAGATCAACAAAGTTCCTATCAAAAATATTGGCTTAATCTAGACCCCACGAGGGCCTGTGCAGAATGAAAGGTTGTCTCTTCATCCCCTCATAATTATTGACGTACACGATCCTCCATATTGCAGAAGCAAAATTTGTCGGTCATGTGATCACGCATGCGCAGACGATCGTCGACGTATTAAGAACTATTGTCCTTACAACTATTGTTCTTATATCAATGCTAATGAGCCTTCGTAAAGGAGAAAACACACTAAGCGTTATACACTGTGTACTTTCACTAATATTGTCTGGTCTGCATATATCCCCATCACCAGATTGCCGAAGGGTGTATGTCACGCAAAGGTTCCTTTTTATTCATTATAGCAAGACCAGGCGTAAAATACACGATGGCCGTAGAACAATACAGTGCAAGTGTAATTACATACAATACAGTACCACCCGGACAGCGGTCAACTCCTCAGGCTCTTTGCACCATCGTTTAGACGTCTGAGTGTTCTCCTCGGGCTGAAATACATTCACATCAAAGGCAACAAGTTAACCTGTTGTCAACATTATTTCATGGGCATACATACATACATAGACTTTTCTTTTACCAATGGTAAAGGTTAAATTATTCTCCTCGTATTTGTTTTTTTAACCTTCAGCTATTCGTTGGAGCCATGCAATTAGCAATGCCACCATAACAGGTAATGCTATAGTTATGAATGAATACATCTAAGGAAAATGGATGACCTTTCCGTGATTAATATTCATCTGCGTCAAATAACGTTACCAATAATCGTGTATTATATCTCTTGTATTAAATATAATTTCTGTCATATTTAAACGTATGCGGCATTGACACGGATAGATTCTAACATGTTAAAGGCAGGAAAACGTCATGTTTCAGTGAGTGAGTGAGTTGGGTTTTACGCCGCTTTTAGCAATATTCCAGCAATATCACGGCGGGTGACACCAGAAATGGGCTTCACATATTGTACCCATGTAGGGAATCGAACTCGGACTTTCGGCGTGACGAGCGAACGCTTTAACCACTAGGCTACCCCACCGCCCCACGTCATGTTTCAAGGAATAGGAAACACATATTGATCACACTGCATTAGGCTAAACGTTTTGGTTACAGACAGACAGACTCACAGATGGTTTATTATCGTCTCATCTCAAATATTACACAAAGGTATATATAATATTAAAATGAGCCACTTTTTGTAGTTATGAGAGACTAAACATTAAAAATGTACAAATTAAATTTACAAAATGCAAATAAAAACAAAAATGAATAATATATATAAATAAAGGGTTAAAAATACTGTAAAGAATATAAAATATCCTTACGTAAATTTAAAATAGCCTTGAAAGTTTGGGCACTTACATGTACAACATTTGGTCTGGATAACATACAACTTAACATAACATCATGTTTACATGTCTCTACAGCTTATCAAGTACCAAACAAACGATTCTGATAATTTGTTACCAAATCTAACATACCAAATACTTGCAACATGCCAAACAAATCTGTGAAAAGATAAGTCGCTTTGGAAATTTGGATACACAAGTTTGCTTCGTGAATCGACCTAGATGTGATGATGCCGTATATTAATAAACAACGTACTTACTCTCTATGTTCTCTATATAATCAGATTGCAAATGTTTCAGACAAAGATGGTGCTAGCGCTTTTACACCGGGTCAGTCTATGCGAGACAAGTGGACCTACGTTGATAAACCACAACGGAACCATATGGCTACAGATGTTTGAAGATAAACAGGATGTGATAACTTCATGCGTTATTTCAGATGACAGTCAGTTTGACTTACATGACACAGACCGTAGCATACAATTTATCACTATACCTAACAAGTTAAATCTAAACAAATCATCTAAAGATGAGACCATAGTTAGAGTTCATAAACATATTTCCCCGAAGACCGCCTTTCAAATAGTTTCTCTAATCGTGAGTACACCTTTAAAACTGTTTTCAGCAAATTGTTAAAGCAAATTATTATCCATCGTTTGTTTGTTTGTTGTCCCTTAATTCATAATCTGGGTCGTTTTATACTTGACATGCACTTTGTATTTCTCAAAACTATAAGATATATCCCTTTTCAATAGTGTAATCCATCTTTCAAATGATTTCTCTCAGAAGTGTCAGACCTGAATAAGAAATTTACTGCTCCTGATGAAAAAACGATGGGATTCGGAATATCAAGTTACTGAGTTGCGGTTTATACAAAATATATTTTGATGGAGAGTAAATAGGTTATTCTTTCTGCACAAAGATAGGCTTTGGTTCAACAATTCAACACGTGCCTTTGATGGAACACGTGTGTCCTCCAGCTATTGTGGTCGGCTGAAAAAAAAAAGGTATTGTAATTGTATGTAGTAAAATTGTATATGTTAAAATAAGAAATTTTATTTCACCATATTAAAGTGAAAACGCTTTTTATTTCACCTTGAAAAGCCGTATGTTTTCAACTATATTAACGGAAAGTGCTTTTAAATTAATAACGACGTCGTAAATATTTTCACGTAAAAGTTTAACTTAAGGGTCAGTTGTCTATTTTGATCAACTTAATACGAAATACAACTGTTGGTGTATATGATCTTTACTCTGAGAAAATTATATTTAATATCTATCGGTAATGTTTGTTCACAAAATGTAACAGAATATTAGTGTTCAAATACTGGGAGAAAATATTAAAGAGAAAACTATCGCTTTTAGTGAAACTGAAGTTTTATTGTTTCAAAAAGTTTTCTTTTACAATAAACGGAACTGGAACAGTTTGTTTACTTCCTTCTTAGTCATGCATAATTCTATTGTTTTGACTACCGTTTGTCATCATGCCATTTCTTTTGTATCCTTAAATCAGATCAAATATAAATATGTATTTATTAAAATCAGGTTGTCAGGGTGTCAGAAGGAAAAAAACTCAAACTCGCTTTTCTGTCTCCTTGGACTCAATGCGCGTAAGTATACCAGTCTAGAAATCACAAGTTAATGAAAGCGCATTAATTAATTACTTTAATTAACGGGTCAACAGGTTGAAGACTGTCGTCCGTCACCAATCAATCTGTCAATTAACAAGGATATTACATTGAATGCATCAACAGGTTTCTGTGACAGTTAATCCCCAGCAAGTGTTGCCATACGCAAACATGTGTTTGAGACATCGAGAAGCGTTGCTATAATAATGAAGATGTCATCCATACCACTACTCCTTACCAATAATCCTTAATACATATGCCACGTGCTAAACAATAAATTACTACTCAAGCGAATATTACTTTTTGGGCATGGTTACAAACATCGTGCATTCGTTTGAAAAACGGTGTGTGGGTCATCTTGTGGTAAATGTTTTGGGAAAAACATAATTTTATTCAAAGCTGAAATTGATGATTCCAACATGACCGCTTGTGATTCAATTTAGAGATATCGTTTAATAAAACTGTGTAAAATTTCAAAGATTCGTTTTTTTCCCAAGGTAGTACTTTTCTCCATGACTAATGTTTGAACAACTTGAGGCATCACTTTTCTGAGTTTAATTAAATAGTTAGTAAGTACGAAAGTATCACATTTTCCAATATTTATTATAAGATGGCGGCGTCCAGGTTATGTTACAGGACCTGCAGTGTACGAGGGCTTTTAACAAGAGCACACGCGCATTTGTCAAGGAATGGCAACACAGTTATGCGTTATTACAGCCTTCTTGGGAAAGGCAAAAGTGTCAAAATAGGATGCGCCAGTGGATTTTGGGGAGATACGGCAGTGGCTGGTATGACAGACGACGGACCAAAGTTCACAATACAACTTAGTGTCACACCCTTACACATGAATAAAAGTTCCTAGTCGAAAAATGTCATTTGGTGTTGAATGAAAAGTTCATTTTATATGTATTGATACAAATAGAGAATATGATCAAATTGCTTTAATCGTAATAAAGAATAGTATGGCCAAACGTCAGATGTCAAACGATAAGGCAATTAGAGTTATCTCCCTTAGAGAGGCATGCAAAAGCGCAACATTTTAAGACCAATTATGAGGCGACACTTTTTGATATATATATATATTTTCTTACGATTGAAAAAAAAAATCTTTGTTTTTAGATTCATGTTTTCCCCACAATCTTAAACGATTATCTTATAAAGAATACAAAATAATATTTATTAAATGGAGCACAGTATTGAAACTTTATAAATGATATTTGATTAAGTGATTTGTAATGTCTGAGTTCAGCAAACTTCTCATTAGGAGAAAGCCATCTTCCGAATAATCACATATTCATGTTACTGTTCCTCTCAAATAAGCAGTCTGAACAACTTCATGATCAATAAAACTATATATAAATACAGTATATATATTGAGCTACTTATTGTTATTTGTATTTTGAATTGCTCTTGCTAAACAAATGATTGAAACATTAGATATGTAAAGGTTTGACATAATTGATAAATTCTCTTCCTTAGGATAAAAGCTAATAAATCCTGAAATAGACCATTTTAGAAATGGACTCGTACATTATTTTGTTTTATTCAAGAGCTTAAGTTGATTGTTTATAAGATTTGTAAGAAAGTGTTTTTGAAAGTGTTGTAATCATCAAAAGCATGCAACCTTTTTCTATTTTGTGCTGGAAGAATCTGATGTCATATAAGTAAAATATGTACATGATTTCCGAACAGTTGTTATTCACAATACCCTGTTTATGAAAGCACAGGCTGCATGATGTTTTAATGCTTGTACTGTATCTGTAGTTGCTACATAGTTTTGAAAGAGAGCTTAAACTGATGCAGGAATTGTTATCCTTACACACAGCTCCCCAACTTATCTATGGAGCAAAGGTGGATTTCATCGTGTTTGACTACCTGTCTGAAATCACTATGTCACTCCTGACAGCAGCCCCGAAGGAAGGCACCGGTATGTGAAATCAGGATATGTACATCATGCATTACACTGCAAGCCAAACAGTTGTAAAATTCAGGAACTGTTCCTGACACTTTTAAAGACTAATGTTTTCAATTAGGCAGATTTATACTCTGTACCAGGTCATTTTTTTAGATCACGGAATTCAGAATTACTTCCAAACCATGAAAATATACTGTTCCTTCAGTAAGGATACTGTAAGATAGAAGAGGGTATATTTTAGGTGCGAAGGACTCATTTTTTGTTTGGCTGTACCTTGTCTTCTACTGTATACTTGCAGTCCTCCATTAAAGTATAAGTATGCAATTTCACACCCCTAGTTTGCCTTTAGTTTCAGTGGTTAGTTTCTAGCTAATATTCAGATACTTATGTTTTGATGAGTGTCTCAATAAAATACCTGAAAACATGGCCAGATTCAATTTCATTAAGTGTGTTTGTTGTTAGAAAGGTCTGCATGGTATTTCAGCTTAGAAAGTCTGTAGGTGTGTCAGTTACATAAGCAGTGAATAGTAAGGTGATCAGGCCCATGTGAATTCATCAGTTTTGTCTCGTACCCATGACAAGTGGAAAGTAAACTGTGTCACAAGCTACTTTGTTACCGGGACAAGGCTTCATTAGTTACAGGCTCCTGTAACTGGGGTAATGCAGAATGCATTGTTACTCGATCATATATTTTATCATGCCCTTACTGATGTCATAAGTATTCAAGAAGCTGTATGATTATTGCCGCGGGGTGGTGGGGTAGCCTAGTGGTTAAGGCATTTGCTCGTCACGCTGAAGACCCATATGTGATTCCCCACATAGGCACAATGTGTGAAGCCCATTTTCCTCACCATGATATTGCTGGAATATTGCTTAAAGTGCGTAAAACCATACTCACTCACTGTGATTATTGCCTTTGTCACTATTAAACATTGATGTACCGATGCTTGATATATACAATTAATAAGGTATGCATACAATAAATGCATGTTTGGCTAACATCAGGTTTTATTTCATTATAAATAGTGTGGTTGTAAAGTTGTTGTCTTTTCACAGAACCTTGGCTATGCACCTGACTTTGTTCAAGTATCCATGGCACCTTTCATTAAAGACATTAAGAGAAAAGGTAATCAACAACCTTGCAGATTCAAGGTTTGATTTAGAATTACATGATCAATGGAATAAATGAGAAATGGAGAAAAATATGAAAGAAATACAGCTATCAGGCAGATGGAAAATTTACTGAGCTTGAAGAGCACTCCTGAGAATAAATATACAGGGTTTTACGTCACGCGCAAATGTGCATCCAGTGTGAAGAATTGTAGAGGCTGGATGCAGAAAAAACTTCTCTGCGTCCTGAGGGAGTCACAATATTATTTATTTACCAAAAACACATTGAAGACTTTGTTTAGTGTTTGATTGTTTCTTTCAGAGCAGTTACGTGCATCATTTCATCCACCAGTCCGCATGATCAATTAATCATACCAGGTTGAAAGAAATTATCGAAACATACAGCTCTCTACACTGTTACTTCACAGAACCCCATATGGCCTGCAAGGACCTTTAAAAGTAATAGTTGGGGTCCTTTTGACACCCATGTCTGTGAGTCGTGGTAAAACCCTGTATATATGACAGTAGGCTGCATTTTCCAGCTTTCTGTAAGTACTGTTGACGGATGAGAAGGCTTTATGAATGGATGGTGTTCATGATATCAGCCTTTGGTTTGCCTGGATCAGATTATTCAGTCATGTAGGATGAATATTGCTATGTGGAAGTAAAAGAACTAGTGCTCCATAAGTAATGGTTATTTTCTGTAATGATATATTTACTATAGGACATATATTTATTTTTCTCAAGGCATTAAGATAATCAGCAATGCAGGGGGAGTTAATCCCCACGGGTGTGCTGCAGCATTACAGGAAGTGTGTACCAAGGCAGACATCTCGCTGAACATCGCTGTTGTGGATGGTGATGATCTCATGTCACAGGTAACTTCAACCACAAAGAGATATCCATAAGATCTGTCTCACTTATCTTTGTGTGAAATATGTGTCAACAAACTAAACAGATACTTATCATTATAACAATATGAATTTTTCTTTCAAAGTTGTGCTTTTGTGTATACTGGAAAAACACAGTACTCAGAGGGTGCTTAGCTGGATCCCTGCTAAATAGGTACAGCTGAGTGTTTGTACAGACAATAAGGTTGTTTATTCGGATAGGAAAACAGTTTGGTGATTTATTGATACTCACTGGCTGAAAGTGATCAGCTTATCAACACACGCAGATGCCAACCCTCGTAGACACTGATTGCTAATTGCAATGATAGCCTGTTGCGCATGCTTGTTGTGGTGTGTACTTAGCATGTTGTTGTTAATAAATAGGGTGGAATTACCTTAAGTAGAATGCTGTATAAGCAGATAGTTGAATTGCATGGTTGAATAAACAAGACTGCAGCAAGTAGTATTTTCAAACTCACCAAGCTTGAAATGTCAATTAGCTAGCTAGCATTCATCACATTGTTTTGCCTGTCAATAATTTTTAAATTATTAACATTGTGTGTAAAGTTTAAATTTCTCATGAATAATAACCTTTACATGGACATCCTTTGAATTTTTAGTCTTGGGATACCAATTGTTAAATTCTGTGTAATTGCTGGTACTTTGTTTTGTAGGCTGAGTTTCTGTTTAAATGAAACCAGTTTCCTTCATGAACATTTTTGTGTTCAGTATGATATATAATAAAAAAGACGTGAAGATCTGAGTTGGAATTGATCTTCAGTAACCCATGCTTGTCGTAAGAGGCGAATAACGGGATCAGGTGGTCAGGCTCGCTGATGTGGTTGACACAAGTCATCATATCCCAGTTGCATAGATTGATGCTCATGCTGTTGATGACTGGATTGTCTGGTTGATTATTTACAGACCACGCCATATAGCTGGAATAGCGACGAGTGTGGCTTAAACTAAACTCACTATACAGTAAAGCGAAGATTTACCTTGGCCTAGATATTTGTGAATACTGATGACTCTCCTGAACATTACTTACTACTGAACATTTTAAAAGGACATTGTGAGGTTAATATGACTGGATGTTTGGAGGGGTCGGTTAAAGAATCTGATTCAATGTGGGTATTGAACTGATGCCTGTAAAGACTTACGTGTATTACAAGGACTAAGAAACAAAGTTAACAAGGCAACATGTGTGAAGTGAAGTTTCAGTTCCAGGTATTGCATTGTTTACATAACTGGTGTTTGTATTGGAACATTGAATGGGAAGAAGTTAATGTTGCATACAGGCTTCACTTCTCTAAAACTACTCCATTACAAAGTGAGTGATTTAACCCACTCAGCCACCACGGCTTCTACATATGTATAGGACTTCGAAGGGCTTGTATTAGGCAGATCTGTTTTTACCTCAGAAGAAGGGGTTTCTTTGTTTATAAACAAGAGAAAGTTCTGGTAACATGATAAACCTACACCATTAGAGTGACCTATGGAGCAGGACCGCCTCCGTGGTGTAGTGGTTAGAGCGTCCGCCCGAGAGCAGAAGGTTGTGGGTTCAATCCCCGACCGCGTCATACCAAAAGACATTAAAATATGACACTTGTTGGTCTCTGTCTGGCGCTCGGCATTAATGGGTACAACAAGGACTGGTCGGCTCAGAGTCAGTATAATGTGTCTGAGTGGGGTATTCATGCTTCACTGCAGCATGGTATCTCAGTGAGCTAGCACTATAAAACCAGCTTAAGTCTGGGCTAGTACAAAGAGCCGCGCATACACATATACACGCATACACACGCATGCACGTCGTCATCATATGAGCGAAATATTCTCAAGGACGACGTAAAAACCAATTTCATCTCACCTCACCTCACCTCACCTCATCTATGGAGCAGAAACCTCTCTTTCAGAATAAGACGAGCAGAGTAAAGTAAGTTTGGGGGTTATTGGGTATTGTTTTTTTTGACTGGCTCGATAGATAAACAGAAATATGTTTGAAGATTGCTTGGTTTGTTGTTTAAGGCCGCACTCAGCAAGGGTCTAGGACAATTCCCACCCGGAGAATTGCCACCCGGACAATTCCCACCTAGGACAATTCCCACCCGGACAATTCCCACCTCGGACAATTCCCACCCCAAAATAAAAATAACATGAAGAACATAGTTCAGTTTCAACATGTATTCATTTAGACATAAATACCATATAACAATATTCCATATAATAACAAACATGAACTATTAATTTCTTCATGACATGCTTTAGTATGGTTGCACTAATCAGGTTTTATTGATCTTATTTAATACACAACAAATAATAGCATTTTTTAAATAAGGAAGCACTATTTTGTGACATACATAAGTTTACAGCAACTTTTCAAATTTTTCTGATATTGACATGTTTACATGTTTACTGATATTGGGAATTGTCCTAGGTGGGAATTGTCTGGGTGGGAATTATCTGGGTGGGAATTGTCCAGGTGGGAATTGTCCTGCTCCCCTCAGCAATATCCCAGCTATATGGTGGCGGTCTGCAAATAATCGAGTCTGGGCTAGACAATCCTGTGATCAACAGCATGAGCATTGATCTATGCAATTGGGATATGATGACATGTGTCAACCAAGTCAGCAAGCCTAACCACCTGATCCCGTTAGTCGCCTCTTAGGACAAGCATGGGTTGCTGAAGACCAGTTCTAACCGGATCTTCACAGGTTCATCTTTGAAGGGAATAAAGTTTTAATTTACACACACAATGCACAAACTTTACTCATGGCCTAAACTTTATGTTCAGAGCGCTAGTTTGTTGTAGTATTCCATATGTAAATGTGTCAACACTCATCTGTGATGTGAAATCTGTTGATTGTTTCTGATTTTTTTTGCAGTTTTACTCAAAGTTACTTCTCTGATACTTATCGATTATAGGTCAATATTTAGTTCTCTATGATCTATATCCATAGCTAACCCTAACACTGCCTCAGAAGGATCATCACACTGGTCCTTTAAGGTTGGTTTGTTGTTTAACGCTGCTGTCAGCAATATTCCAACCATGTGGCAGCAGTTGGTCTTTAAGAAGCCTCAAGAAGCCTCACATGATCAGAGGCTGATATTCAACCCCAAGTCTCCAAATGTCAGTAAAAAGTCCTAAGTTGGAATGAAACTTTTGCCATGTCTTAGTATTTTAGTAACCAATGTTTTCATTTTGCAGATGTGATTTACATTTCACCAATAACTATACTGGCTACATAAAGAAACTGTGCACACAGAAAATATAAAGATAGGCAGACAGCGTCTTTATGCATAAATAAAGGTGTGAACATAGCAAGTATTGGAGACAATCAAACGCTCATGCAGGTGCCAGGCGACGTGACGTCATTGATAGTGGCCTATGGACTTGCAATGTGTTACTGCACGTGCAGCCTGTGCAGCTGCACACAACATGTGAAACTCAGAAATTGATATCACTGTTGAAAGCTTGATCTTTGGTCATTCAAACGTTCACAAATTCACATGAAAAGTCACAAGCACATCATGCCAAGATTAACATGTGCTCAACGTCATGAAACCATTGGAATGGTTCCAGCAGGCATGAGCCAACAACAGGTGGCAGCACATTTCCAATGCCATCGTAACACGATATCTACATTGGTCAGGCGTTAGGGAAACAGTAATGACGTCGCCGACCACCCACATTCTGGGCGTCCGCGAGTAACGATGCCAAGACAGGACTGATGGATTCGGGTGACTCATATCAGACACAGGTTTCAGACGGCAGTGACCACGTCCCAAACCATTCCCCAGGCCTTCATTTGGAAAATTTGGTAGCCTCTATGCGTCGTCGATGCACTGCTGTGCTTCACGCGCATGATGGTCATACCCGTTACTGACTTTGTGACTTCAACGTGTGACCCCGACTCAGTTTTGAACTTCTGACGTCATCTTTACGGATATTGTTCATGTTCTTTTGACATGTTGTTGAGGCCCAATACTTGAATTTATAAAGTGTCTACATCATGTCGTCTTTTCTGTGTTGTATTCCAATTCTGAAGGAATTCTCTGTGTGCACAGTTTCTTTATGTGGCTAGTATATATCAATAAACAAGATGGTCCAATGTTTAGGTATTTTAGGTAATTATCCCAATTTTTCAGAGCAAAATTACACAACTTTGATGTATCATTCAAATTTTATAAATTTTGATGTATGTTATCAGAAATGTGAGCTGTAACAGTTTCATTTCTGTGTCAATGTCTCTATCTATAAAGAATATCAACATTATCTCATCATATTTTACCATTTTAGCTCCCAGAGTTACAGAAACTTGGAATCACTGAAATGGACTCCGGTATGGAACTGCCTAAGACTGTCCACAGTATGAATGCTTACCTAGGGTTAGTTTTGTGTGGTTGTTACCAGTGTCTTATCTGTAATAGAGAAAACATGAGAATCTCTTGATTCTATTCCTGGATCAACAGATTCGGATGATATCTCTGACTTGAACCATATTATGGTTGAAATATAATATTACAATGGTTGTGTGTGACCCATAGTTGTGGCAGGTTTACATGTTATTGTGATCAAAATGCTTTCAGAATGGTTTAACAGTTGCATTTTTCATGATTTGTTGAAGGCATACAGAGCCATATGTATGTTTTTTTGTGAGTGATGCTGCATGTGTCATGGTCAGTCAGAAATATATTCAATATAGCTCATACAAGGCTATGATATTTGGTTGCTCAGTTTAGATTACTGTGGGTTCAGTTCATACTGAAAAGGAAAAAAATATTTCTGGGTCCTTCTTATTAAATTTTAGTAAAGTAATTGAAAAACTTTATTATCTGCAATATCACTTCTTAGTTGAGTCTTTTATCATTTGCAAAGACATAAAGAGCTGAATCTTGTCTTCTACTAATGCTGATGGAAGTCATATCTCACTTGAATCTTTGCTATTTGCTAAAGACATTGAGAGATATATGGTCTGCTGTGAGAGCTGCTGGCAGTGTCATTTCTCAGTTGAATCTAAGATGATTTTGTAAAGACATTGAGAGTTTATAGTAAGTAAATACCGTTTTGGAGACTACAGAAGTAGCACCTCAAGATATTGAATACAGTGCTCTTTTCCTCATTTGTAGGAGTGGCCCCATTGCTCGTGCTCTTGACCATGGAGCTGATGTGGTTATCACTGGCAGATGTACTGACAGTGCTTTGGTGCTAGGTCCTCTTGTACATACGGTATGACACTGCATCAATCTGATGTGCATAGTTATCTCCCTTAGCTGCACAAGAATCCTATGGATATGAGTTTGAATTTGCCATTATTATGATTCTTGGTTGATGTTGACTATACCCATTTCATCATTATGGTAAGTGTCTATGATTTACTTCATTTTGGATTTCAATTTAATGTCAGGTTAGGGATGGTGGTGTAGCCTAATAGTTAAAGGACCCGTGAAGATCCGGGTAGAATAGGTCTTCAGCAACCCATTCTTGTCATAAAAGGTGACTATGCTTGTCGTAAGAGGCGACTAACGGGATCGGGTGGTCAGGCTCACTGACTTGGTTGACACATGTCATCGGTTCCCAATTGCGCAGATCGATGCTCATGCTGTTGATCACTGGATTGTCTGGTCCAGACTTGATTATTTACAGACCGCCGCCATATAGCTGGAATATTGCTGAGTGTGGCATAAAACTAAACTCACTCACTCACTAATAGTTAAAATGTCTGCTCATCACGCCGTCCATTTCTGGTATTCCCCACCGCGATAATGCTGAAATATTGCTAAAAGAGGCATAAAACCATACTCACTCACTCAATGTCAGGTTGAAATACCTTTGCATCACTGAACTATTGTTTAAAGCAGCAATCTCTCACCTAACATGCATACCTAAAGTGCTAACCTAATATTGAACAATTTCAAGAATGATGCTTTTACACATGCCATATTTTCCAACCAATGACTTGTGTAAAGAGAATGTTGTTGTTGATAAGTTAAAGATTCCTAGCTTCTTAACATAGCATGTCTGTTTCAAGATATGTAATTGTGGTATGTGTTAAGCTTTCCTACTACTACTGGCTTCCTCTTTTGCAGGGATGAATTGAATGGGAAACATGAAGTATGTTGATGCATGTGTTTCAGTTTGGCTGGAAAATGGACCAGTTTGATCTGCTGGCAAGTGGCAGGTAGGACAGTGGATCTTATGACAACAATATGTAAATCTGGGTTTGAAATGTAGAGCTGTCGAGAGCCCTTGCGGTTTGCTGTAGTATCCTAAGGGAAACCTCAATTCTTTAAAATTTGACATCAGGGTTATTACAAAATGGACAAGGAGCACTAACATTTAAACTTAATATTGAACAATGTCAACAATTACATAGCTATTGTTTCTGAAAGCACAGTGTGGTGGTACCTCAGTATATCACAGATATTTAATTGACAGAATGGACATTACTGCAGATGACTGCCAATCTCCATTCATTTCTTGTTTGATTTGTACAATGAAATATATACATCAACATTCAGGGCTCCTCATAATTTTTCAACATCAGGAGTATGCACTCCTTATTTTTTCAATATAGGAGTACTGGATAAACTTAAGAGTACATTTTAAGTACTGAATGGAATTTAATGGCGTATCAGTAATCTTGTGTTTCCTTTCATATATGTACCACAACATTACTATTCTTGTGTAAACAGGTCAATAAACAATAAAACAGCACTCTTTCAGATAAATACATCTGTAAATGATTCCAAGACCGTACACCATTGCTGTGGTGCGTATGTGCTATGTTTTCTAAATTATTTCCTACCGTATCGTGCATATTTTTTATCCATACATACGCCGATATGGCCCTTATCTGGAGCCCTGAAAAATAATAACTTAATCGACTGCATGTTTAATCATTAACACATGAAAAACTGTAGACAAGAGTATGGAATCAGTAGCATTGTTAGCACAGTCTTGCTCAGTAAAAAGAAAAGCCCAACTCATTCTACTATCAGTTATTCAAGAAACAGTAGTCCATTAGTTGAGCTGGCCTATTTTTTAGAATAAAGAAACATACACAAAATCACTATCAAACGTCATGGAAACCCTTGCAATTTATTTCTTCGAAAATATGCCAGTTGACCATTGGAACGAAACAGGGCATGTTTGTTTCACACATTGAGCTCATGACAAATGGTATATGTGGAGAGTGAGTTTGCAGTATTTGACTGTACTTATCAATACATTACTGAAAAGAATTATTCTTGTAGCACTGTCGATTGGTAATAATTTTGTATACAAGTAGTATGTGTATTCAGCCTTGCAGGTCACCTGATAGAGTGTGGAGCTCAAGTAACAGGGGGCATCTTCACTGACTGGGATTCAGTACCCAACTGGTGAGGGAACTTCACTCTTGCTAGCAATGTCTTATGTTGTGGTAAAGTGCTTTTGAAAACGTCAGCATCTCTGTGAATCTATTTATGGTTTGGTGATTGTATGATTTGAGCCTAAATATACAGTATTTTGGTTTTGTTCTGGTTCCTGCTTCTTGAATATTCATGTGTAAGGATGTATTTCTTCTTCGTTTTGCAGCTAAATCATTTTGTTAGAAATAAATTGTTTTCGTTTCTGATTACCAAAAATGTTAATAAAAAGTTATTTGTAAGTCAATTTTCATGCTTGAAATCCTACATTTAGTAAATCTTGCACACCAGTGAGTCCAGAGCAATTTTGGTTTGTAGTACCTCAACAGCATGTGAAGTCAAGGCACTGGTTGCCTGATCAGTCAGAAAATATACATCACGTTTTTCAATTTACGTGAGTGTGTGGGTATTCAATGCCTGGAAGGTTAATTTAGAACAGACAACCTAAGCCAAAATTTTGATATGTAAAAATGTCCTCATGTCAAATACTCCATGCCAGCAATGACCCTGAAATGTGAAATCTCAGGCTGTTTATGAACTTTTGTTAAAAGAATGTTCGTATCATCAGCTAATTTCCATGGGCTCTTTTTCTACCAGATTTGACTGCTATGATATTACAATGGAACTGAGGATGTCATGTGCTTCCTGGACATCCGTAGCTTCATCGCTGCAGAATGTGAAGAAAAGTCAAAGTTAAATTCAGATCAAGTTTAATATGTTACTACTAACTTTATTGAATGTGATTTCCAGTTTGCCCAGCCAATGCCATGTTTTCTAGATTTTGGATTGAGAAAGAAAAAAAGGCTCTTCTCCAGTAGTGTATGCAGTTATAAGTTCAGTAGTTCTCTGCTTTTGGAATCCTAACATATGTTATATTTGGGATTACACTTTCGAGTACTTTTGTTGGGTTGAGTCCCATCTGGGATTCGAAACCAGACCCTCAGAGTGAGGCACCTAATCGCCAGCACATCAAGTCAGCTGCCTAACCTGCTCAGCCACTGCTGCTTTCACAATAATGAAAGTTGGACAACTGGTAGTCTAGTCCACAGACTTTGTGTACCCCTTTGATAGGTGTACATTGACACAGAATCCTAGTTGACAACACTGTGCACGCACTCCTGTTTGTATCAGAGTGCCTGATTATTGTTTGTTTCCCAATGTGTGGGATGTCATGGAAGCAGCCACTGTGGAGATGGTGTTTGAGGATGATCGTCCTATGTTCTTTTCTTCAGGGATCATATGGGATTCCCTGTAGTGAAATGTCATGAAATGAGCTATTGTGGAGATGTGTCTTTGTGTGTTTACAGTCCTCTGTTCTGTTTTCAGGGATGATATAGGATTCCCTGTAGTGGAATGTGGAGAAGATGGGGAATTCCTGGTCACAAAACCACCAAACACTGGAGGCATTGTATCCAAGGCAACAGTTGCTGAGCAACTGCTGTATGAGATTGGTGACCCTGCCCACTACTTCCTCCCAGATGTTGTGTGCGACTTCAGTAATGTGACGTTAGATGAGGTGGGAGAAAATGCCATCCATGTCAGTGGTGCAAGAGGAAACCCTCCCTCAGGGGAGTTCAAGGTGGGTCTGGATGGGCTCTGTCCTGTCCTGGCTGTATATGGGTAAGTGCTTTGCAATAGCGGGAATCTCTTGTAAATTGAAAGCACAGGCTTGTCTCGTCCGTACCTGGTTATATTTCAGACAGCTGTTACATAGCTGTATGAAACCAGGAGATTGGGGAAATCTGTATGTAATCATTGGGTTGATCATTACTACTATATCATGATTTGTGAATCTGAAGGACCAAGAAGGTGGTATATTGAGTAAGGAGAGTGCCTGAAGATCACCAGGCTGGTGGTTTGATCCCCACCCACACCAAACTAAAAGATGTTGAATTATTGTATCCTTGGTTACCCTGCCCAGTGGTCAGCATTAACATCATAAAACAGGTATTGGTGGGCTCAGAGTTTACTGACTGACTGACTGAGGTTGGTTTTACGCCGCTTTTAGCAATATTCCAGCAACATCATGGCGGGGGACACCAGAAATGGGCTTCACACATTGTACCCATGTGGGGATTCGAACCCGGGTCTTCGGAGTGACAAGCCAACGCTTTAACTACTAGGCTACCCCACCGCCCCTCGGAGTCTACTGTGTCTCAGTGGTGTCTCCATGTTAGCTCATTGTATCTCAGTGAGATTGCACTAGCAGTAGAACAATAAAAGCATATAAATCTTGACCAGCACAAGCAGCAAAGCACATGCAGGCATGTGCATGCCAACAGACAGACACCTCAGTTATTTGTTCAAAAGCATTGTCAGTAGGAACTACAAACATGTGAAATGAAGCAACTGTGGAAAATTCAACTTGAGGATTATTGAAATAATGGTTTATTATTCCTTGAAGAACCTAAACCAGATGTTCCATTTGTCTGCAGGTGAGTGCCACATACATGGACGGCTTCCGCTCGACTGCAGTAGTATTTGTTGGTGGTCCCAGAGCTGCAGAAAAGGTGGAGAGGACAGCTAATGCTGTACTCAAGAGGTGATTACATTACTAGATACACCATATGTAATGTAGCTTTGAAACTATACTGAGTCAAAAAAGAAACTTCACAAAATGTAAATTTTTCCTTATCCTGACTCATGCTTATTTGCTTGTCTTCTTCTTCTTTGCGAACATAGTGGAACACTTGTATCCCCCAACTGAAGTTCCCTTCAATATAAAATCACTAATTAGTACTCACCGAGAGTTATCTTTCCCCCCGCAAGCGCGGGAACGAGGGCGCCACCTCCCGCCATGTGCCTCACTCTCTCCTTCTTCGCCCAGTGAGCAGGACGTGAGAGCGCCTGTGTCTCCCTACACACTATATCCTTTAATTATATTTAGTTTGCCACATCTTATATTCATCTATAGAGGTGTAACTAGTATCCTTATTCAACATGCATTGATATTTATTCGTGTTTCTGCTGCTTTATTCACGGTTCGCCGTGTTTGCTCAACAGATTGCGTTAATGAAAATCTGCACTGTTTGTAAATTACGTTACTCTGCTGCCGATCTGCATTTAGTATGCCCTAGCTGTACAACTCCATGCTCTATTATTTCATGCTGCAAATTATGTATTAATTTGTCTAATTCTGCCTTTGATAAATATTTATATTCCGTCTTGAGACGGGCTGCAGATAGATCTCGGAAACTATCTTCAGCCATGGCTAATCGATCAGAGTCAGATATACCCTGTCAACTGTTGGCGGACGACCCTCTACCGTCTGGTGTTCCGCCTGAGTTACCTTTGGGGGAGAAGCGTGGGACGCAGTCCGCTATATCCAAGAAGCGACCGGGATCCCAGGATGTTCCATCATCACAGTCTAAGACTAGAAGAGCTTCCACATCGTCACAACGTACGCTCCGAACCCCCAGGGCTACAGCTTCGTCGAAAGGGAAATCCACGAAGGCTACTAAAAACGTTTCTTCTGACATTCTTCCTGTTTCAGAATTGTGTTTATATGATGATGACCTTCCGATTATCATTCCAGATGTACGGCATAGGAAGCGACCAGTATCGGCTACCGTCACTTCAGCACAGATCAACATGCAACCAGAGATGCCTACGCTGACGCCTGAGATTACAACTGAGGGTCCCGTCACTGTCACAGAGAGGACAGCCTCAACGCCAGCGCAGACCGTTCCAGACGACCTGGTCAACCAGATCATGATGTTGATGGAAGACCGATATGGTTTACAGAGGCCTCAAAGCCGCGGGCCCCAGAGCCCAACCCATAATAAGTCATGTAGGGCCCCAGAGCCCGCTATGACTTCGCGTAGGGCCCCAGAGCCGACCAACGCGCCTCCACAAAGGGCAACCCAGCCCGTATCGAAGCCTTCGCAAAGAACGTCCCAGGCCGCCTCCACGAAGGATCCAGATCCTCACCAGTTGCGAAGGGCTTCAAGGGCTTCGACGAAATTTCAATCAACACATTTCCCGGTTTTCAGCGCCAAGAAATTTGCAGGTCACAATATGGACTCCTTTTTCAAGGCTCAAGAGATTGATTACAACTTTAAGTTAATCAGCGATGCCAAGTCCAGGAAGTACAGAATAGACGATCGCAAACTAGCCCAGTTGGATACCATTTCTAGGAGAATGTTTTTGATTGAATAGATCTAGAACTGTTAATGAAACTCTCATCACCAAGTTCAAAGATTCTACAGAGGAGGAAGATAGAATGAATCTACTCGGCTCTACTCATGCAGAAAAGAGAGCAACAGTTCCTTACAGATCACTTGTCAGCGCTTACTACAGCTACTACCATGGCTCGTCGTCAGGGTCTACTAGCCTCCTGCAATTGGGATAATCAATTTACGGAATCCCTCTACGCTGCTCCATGGTCACCACCCTTACTCTTTGGTGGTAACATAGACAAGGTCTCTAAAGAGGTGTCCAAGGACTCTAGAGAAGTGCTTATGATCAAGTCCATGGATACCGTTAGCGAATGTCATTAAGCAATCATCCTTGAGATACACTGGCAAGTCTAAATTCTCTGGACTACAGAAAGCACGGGACAAGAAATTGGCTACAGCAAAAGGTCCCAGGGAATCTTTTCGTCGCCCATACAGCAATTTCAGAGGAGGATCAGCAAGAGGCAGATCATCCAGAGGTTCCCGCGGATTTAGACGATGAAATACAGGTTCGGAACGACTGGAGTCTTCCACCCCCAGCCGTTCCAGTACAACCTTCTCAAGTGGGTGGACGCCTTCAGCTGCACTGGGAAAACTGGGGATTACTACAAGATCCTTATGTATCCAACATCCTACAGCACGGATATCAAATACAACTCAAGGCCATACCTCCGTTAACAGTCATCCCTCCAAGGTTTGACTTCCAACCGGCACAACTACCTATGTTAAGAGAAACAGTAGCTACTCTTCTAAACAAACAGGCCTTAGAAGTTCTGGATCAGCGAAACATCGTACTAGGTTTCTACTCCCCAGTTTTCCTAGTGCCCAAGAAAAATTTGAAGGAAAAGTTTCGTCTCATATACAACATGAGCATCTTCAACAGAGAATATCTAAGCAAACCGCCAGCGTTTCGCATGATACACTTACCGCAACTTCGGAACTTAATTCGTCCCAAAGATTACATGGCCAGCATAGATTTGCAAGATGCATATCTACACATTCCGATTCATCCCAATTCAAGGAAATATCTAAGATTTATCCTAGATGGGAAACATTACCAATGGAAAGTACTTCCCTTCTGAATCTCATCGGCCCCTTGGGTATTCACAAGAGTGACAAAACCTATTGTCTCATACCTTCATCGTCAAGGTCTTCGCAGTGCATTTTACCTAGACGACGGGATACAAGTGGATCCAGATCCACAGCGTCTCAGACTACAGCTGAACTTTATAATCAAGTTACTAACTCAACTAGGATGGTTAGTAAATCTACTCAAGTCGGACCTAGAACCAACGCAAGATCTGCAATTTCTAGGTATACGATTTCTAACAGCCCAGAATCGTATAGTAGTCCCGGAGGACAGATGGATCAAGATCCAACAGTTAATCCCACAAGCCTTACTCTCTCCGCTACCGCTACGACAGTGGCAGATCCTATTGGGACTACTCACATCAGCTCAAGACTTGACAGTCAGAGGCAGGCTTCAATTACGTCCGTTACAAGTCCTCATCAATGCGCATCTTGAGGACCCTCTACCGTTCAGTCTACCAGATCACGTCAAACCTCATCTACTCTGGTGGACCAAGAGATTGAATGTTTGCGTAGGCGTCTCCTTAATAGAGCCGGCATCGGAAACACATCTCTACGTAGACGCGTCACTACAAGGTTGGGGAGCCCACCTCGCCAACAGGACAGTATCAGGCCTATGGAGCAATCAAGAGAGCAAGTGTCACATAAATCTGCTGGAGATGCAAGTAGTCATAAAAGCCATAAGTCACTGGAGCAACCTACTACAGAACGCTCAGTTGATGATTCACACAGACAATTCAACAGTGGCGTTTTATGTGAACAAACAAGGCTCAACAAGGTCACCGAACCTACTGTCTCTATGTTTCCGATTATTCGATCTAATCGACAATCTAAACATACATGTCAGAGCTTGCCACATTCCAGGAGCAAAGAATGTATTAGCAGACATTCTCTCTCGGCCACACCTACCTTCGCCGACAGAATGGATGCTCCACACAGAGATATACAATCAAATAATCATGGAAATAGAATCTCCACTAGTAGACCTATTCGCCACTCGATTCAACACACAACTGACAACATTCGTATCGCCAGTTCCAGACCCACTAGCATGGGCAACGGACGCACTAAGCATATCGTGGGAGGGACTCAACGCTTACGCTTTCCCGCCTCCAGCGTTAATCCCACAAGTCTTACAGAAAATGAGTCAAAGGCAGAGCCTCCATCTGATTTTGGTCGCCCTACTGGCCAGCGAGCGTGGTTTCCAAATCTTATTCAAGAAATCGGACAACCAATTCTACAACTTCCAGAACGTTTCGAATCTATTGATACATCCAGCACACCAAACAAACGAAAACCAGAATATACCAACTTCGCGATGGATTGTATCAAGGCATGTCTGAAAAGAGAGGTTATTCAGCCAGAGGCGGCAAAAGCAGTCAGCTTGCCCTCGCGTAACTCTACTTCATAACTTATCACGATGACAAATGGCACATTTTGTCAATTATGTCTGCAAAGAAAGGATTTACAGCCAGATATGCTACACATCCTCAAGTGGCGGACTACTTATGTTATCTACGACAAACTAAGAATCTAAAAGGCTCAACTTTGTCCACTTATCTTGCAGCTATAAGCTCTGTCATAACTATGAGAACGGGCGTCAAGTTAACAAAAACCCCAGAGTTACTCGCTTTGCTACGAGCATTCCGATTGGAGGATCAGAAACGGAAGTTTCACGCTCCAGCTTGGGATCTAAATATAGTGCTCCAACACCTCACAAGTGAGGCTTATGAACCGTTAGAATCTACATCGTTTGAATCTCTGACTTAGAAAACATTGTTCCTGTTAGCACTAGCTACGGCTGCCAGGATGTCAGAGATTCATGCATTGGATTATGAGAGAACACGCTTTGATGATATACATAACATCGTTCATCTGGGACTACGCTGGGATTTTATAGCTAAGAACCAATTGCAAGGTCAACCACACAGATTATTCCACGTCCCAGCTCTCATATCCATACTTGGACCTCATGATACGATGGATCTATCACTTTGCCCAGTAAGAGCACTGAAAATATATCTCCAACGATCCAAACAGAGGAGAGCAAAATTCAAGAGATTATTTATCCCTCTATCTACAGCTACGCAGACGAAAGTCTCACGTACTACTATCTCCATTTGAACTGTCATACTACGTGCCTACAAGGCTGCAGGACTCGACCCTCCAAGAGCATCTAATCCTCATGAAATTAGAGCGCTAGCCTCAACTCTTGCTCTACACGGCAGCTGCTCGTTGAATACCATAATGGAGGGTTGTTTCTGGAGATCCGATATGG